TCAGACTAACATCATCCTCAATTCAGAAAAAAACCCATACAAAACAAAACCAAGATGCTGCTTAATTAGTCCCTTTTCCATGAGTACCTAGTTTTCAGTGTTCCGAACACGATGATTGTTCTTTCATCAATTAGCAGAAGTCGAGAGCCTCTAAGCTCATCTCTAAGTGCTCAAAAAAGTGAATTATTCAAAAAAAAAACACTGGTAATAAAACTATAATGGAACTTTTATACAGTGTTTATCCTACAAATAGGATGGATTGAACAATTTTGACCTCAATGGTAAACAACAATTAGAGGCTCCAAAATTTATTTCAAAAAGCTTCAAAACACTTAATTTCGAAAGCTTTCCAAAAACTTGCAATATTTCGGTGCTTAGCACCTTCGTCAGGCACGCGTTTGCCTCAATACAGCTTCCAAACTTACCCAACGAAAATTCGTTGGGTAAGTTCTTTTGGCAAACTTACCCAAAGAATTCTTCGTTGGGTAAGTTTGGAAGCTGTATTGAGGCAAACGCGTGCCTGACGAAGGTGCTAAGCCCGAAATATTGCAAAAGTTTTTGGAAAGCTTTCGAAATTAAGTGTTTTGAAGCTTTTTGAAATAAATTTTGGAGCCTCAAATTGTTGTTTAACATTCAGATCTTTATGAGGCTTCGGGACAGCACCATATTAAAATTTTGACCTCGTATAAGAATGGTTCTCATGCACTACAAGTTGCTGTGAAATGCAATGTATCACAACTCCAAAATGATCGTGACACAATCACTTCGAAGTAACTCTACAGTCCAATAGTTGAAGTGTGCAGAGCGAACTCAGCGCAAGAATGAAGCCGGAAGAGAGTCGAGAATGGTGAAAATTGGGAAGCAATCCGCAGTCCAGTCTACTCGGGCGCGGTTCATTGGAGACAGATCGACCACGTTAACCCTTTGACGACAATGGCACCCACCGGTGGATGCACTAGTTCCACCTTAAAATCCCTTCTTTGCGCATCCAAAACATTTGCAACACCCAAATATTTATTAGTTAGTTCCACTACAGCACGGCTTACAAGAATGTTTATTGTTTATCTAGAATTTCAGAATGTGGCATTTAGCTCGCCAGCATATTAATTGGGGTTTTGCATTATTAGGCTGAAGATTAATTACTAATCAGGACTTCTTCGTCTTCTCATAGCCCTCAGATATGGGAAGGGTTTGAAGTGTATCGAAAATTCTCTTGGACACTTAAACTTTTGGAGGTTTTGCCCTCCTTCCCTTTAAAACCCGAGTTCCCCTCCAAATTTGGAATTCTCTTAAAACAATATACAGCATGAAAGCCTAGAACTGCCCTTATATCTGGCAGACAGTTAACGCGAAAAATACTACAGTGCGTACCAAAAGTATGTGGACACCCTGGAATCGATTCTCAGGGGTCAGCTAAAGGCTTTTATGTCATGAAACCTTCCACCATTCAACTCCTAGTGGTCGATAACCTACAATGATATTTTCGGCAAAAGATTTCGTTCTAACTTAGCGAACTATTTTTCATGGAAAGTTTTTTCTTTGTATCAAAATTATGTGGACACTTTTTGAAAAACGGCAATATCTTCAGAATCTGAAATCGGTAGGCCTACCAAAGTTTCTAGTAAGTTGAGCCATTCTGTTTGGCATGCTATGAACCGGGTCTGGATACATGGGGTGTGTCTCAAGTGGTACGATTGGAAATTTCAGCACCTAATTAGTGCTGCGTCGCGACGAGGTGCGAAGTGACCTCAAATTTTGGCACCTAATTAGTGCTGCCTCGCGACTAGGCGCCAGCTACCTGTGGGCGAGACGCGCCGTACATGTCCATAACGGTGCAAAAGATAGGCGGAAGGGAGGAAGGTGATTTCAGATAAAATGTGATTATTCATTCATTATTACTACTTTTCAATCTTCTGACTCCTGTGAACAAATCAAAGTAAAATTGATGTTCATATTTATTATTATTACTATTATTATTATTATTATTATTATTATTATTATTATTATTATTATTATTATTATTATTATTATTATTATTATTATTATTATTATTATTATTATTATATTATTATTATTATTATTATTATTATTATTATTATTATTATTATTATTATTCATTGTTATAATTATTCATTATTATTATGTTAGTAGTCCTCAACTCCTTAACACCCCACTTGCACCAGATACCTTTGAGTGGCCCGCTTAGCCAATTAGTGTTTAGGTAGTCAAGGAAATCTTCACACTTCTCATATGCGTCGTGATTGCGGGGTACAGGGGATTCTGCAGGGCTGGAACTTCTGTGGGAAGAAATGGCAAAGTTCGATAGTTTCCAAAGTAGTAATAATGAATGAATGAATAATCACATTTTATCTGAAATCACCTTCCTCCCTTCCGCCTATCTTTTGCACCGTTATGGACATGTACGGCGCGTCTCGCCCACAGGTAGCTGGCGCCTAGTCGCGAGGCAGCACTAATTAGGTGCCAAAATTTGAGGTCACTTCGCACCTCGTCGCGACGCAGCACTAATTAGGTGCTGAAATTTCCAATCGTACCACTTGAGACACACCCGGATACATGTCTTGCAGATCTGTTCCCAACTAGCAAATTTCACCGACGTGTTAGGTCACTTGTGATATTACTCTTTTGTTCAATGACGTAGAGACCGCGAACCACGATACCTCTACGTTTTCAATAAGGATGAAGTCTGAGGAATACGCTAGCCGACTTGCCAATCAAAGCCGTTGCGTTTAGCATTTTTCCAAATGGAATGGTGTCAGGGACCTCCCCTGCAAAACAAGTGATTTGCGACCATGACTTTTCGAAAAAGGTTGTAGCCGGGACTCAAGCACCTCATTATAATCCTAGTTGTCTACCTGACATGTTGGCAAGCCAAACTCCAATGTCCCCCTCCTTTTGGAACCACCCCAGACCTTTGATGAACATCTTCCGAATTGTCTCTTCGAGCACATCTGCGGGTCCGACCAAAGTCTCTCCAAAAACCTCAAGACCCACCCGAATAGTAAGGAATAAGCTTCTTTCTGCCAGTCGAGTTGGTCTATGAGAGAAATTCCACAGAAAGTCTTTTATACTAATTTTACCATTTCCACGAAAGCACTGTCTGTGTGGGTTCAAAGTATCATGTTGTGATCCTTTTTTGAGTGGGAATTCCAACCTTGCCAACCTGAACCCGCATTCATATACAAAGCCTTCTTCATCTTCTTTCGTGTCGTGTGCTCAATTGATTGAATGAGACACCGATTGGTCTTTTTTAAGATCGGGAAGATCATTTATGCGTAAAGTTGAGTAGTACGAAAAGAATAATTTGAGAAAATTAAGGCTATTCTTCTCCTGTTTTGAACAAGTAGCGATTGAGAACAACCCTCAGTCAAGGTCGAGAGCTTAGCATCAGGATTTCGGATTTCTCTCCAAACCTACGAGGACGCATGACTGGTTGACGTGCTATTTCGCAATAGGAAGGTTCAGAAGCATGGGGATCCCATTTCTGTGCTCGGTCTTCTTCAGAAAAACGCTTGCCGTGAAGAGGAATGATGCCAGAATAAGTAACGAAAGGAGAAGTAAAAATAGGTTAGGAAATCGATGCAAAAACTTCATCTGCCTCAGGGTGTCCACATAATTTTGATACAAAGAAAAAACTTTCCATGAAAAATAGTTCGCTAAGTTAGAACGAAATCTTTTGCCGAAAATGTCATTGTAGGTTATCGACCACTAGGAGTTGAATGGTGAAGGTTTCATAACACAAAAAGCCTTTAGCTGACTCCTGAGAATCGATTCTAGGGTGTCCACATACTTTTGGTACGCACTGTATAGAAAAGCGGCTTTGGGGGATAATTTCACCCAATTGTGAGCGAGAGTTGAGCGCGCCAAAAAGAGGTGTGGTGCCATGAGCAAGGTACGTGCAAATTCGCTTGTCGTGAGAGGGTTAATCCAATGGTTCGGCGATCCGGACGAGTTATTTGGCCAAAATAAAGCTGCGCCTGGGTGGCAAGTACAGCCCCAGCGCCCCAATGGCAACGCGCAATTTGGTATACACCCGACCCAAGGGTTAAGGCAACACCCCACAGAAGACGCATCGGAGAATCTATTCAGTGTGTGGATAAAGTAGCCCACGAGTGTCACAGATGTGCCGTTGTCACCTCGAAAGTGCGCGACAATGGCGCTAGGGTTACAAAGTCAGCATTTGGCGACTAATCTTAGCATTTGGACGAGTTACGTCGCGCACACCCCATGACACGCAACGTGGATTACGGCGTAGCGGCTAATTCAAATACGCGCGGGTTAGTTGAGCCGTGGAGCAGGCAAGTTCATACAACTCGTCTGGCCCCGTCCATCCCTTATTTCAGGAAGCAGGGTGTCGTCACAAACAGCGACCAGCCTAGAGAGGTGCTCTCTTGGAATAAGGATGAGGTAGCCAGTAGTGTCCCTCCCCGAACTAGATTTTTGCCTTGTTTTCTGTTTGAGAAGCTCCAAGAATGTAAGTGTTGTAAATTTGAGGCATTTAAATTTTTGCCTGTATACTCCTCACCTGCCTACCGTGTTTTTTTTTGAGAAGTAGAAAGAGAAGTAGGTGGATTGGGCCAAATGGACCTAGTAATCGGTGATTTGGTCATTATGAGAACAAATTCATTTCATAATTCTTGCACAACAATAACAAGATAAAATCTAGAATCTAAAAATGAAAGTTCGCTTTATATATACATACATATGCATTTTCTGAGTGGAACCAAAATTTCAATGCTTCACCTCTGGACACAATTACCGGTACGAAGATAGACTCTGACGGCAATATGTATTCATCTAAGCTTAAAGTAACAAGAACAAGAAGTAGAACTAAAAGTGATATCAACAGTCCTATTCACATGAAAGAAATTTACATGAACAATATGGTTACAATTTTTAAAAACTGACAAGATCAACTAATATACAGGCAACTGACATAAAATACATTCACACATGGAGATTTCAACAAACTAGATCAACAACTATTCTTTTGCATCAACAATTCCTCCATTTGTGATCGCAAATGTGGCCTCGTTTTCTGGCATGTCAGGACTATCATAGATCTGCAACCAGTATGTTTATTGTTGGGGATAGTTACAAATTTATTAATTACCGGAACCCTTGAATGCCCCAATAATCGACATTACCATCCGTTTATAGCCCGATCAGGAGCAGATTTAGGTTGGCCACGTATCAGGTATGGAGCATTTCCAAATCGAACGTATTTGTCACCGACTTCACGATTAAGTGAGCTACTCATCACATTCAATTCCAGTTACAGTCGATATCCGAAAGTTGGGGTGGGCGTGTCACCGGAAGTGACGTGCACTTGATAGAAGTTGCGTGGATAAGCTGTTGCCAGCATGCTTTGCTGATATCAGCGATGGGTGCTAACTTAGTTGGGGGGGGGGCACGCGGCGGCGCGGCAGTCTGCTCACCTGGGCTCTCTCGAGCGAGACAGTGTAAACTCGAACATTCCAGCTTTTCACGCATGTCAAGTGACTGCCCCCACCCCCACCCCCTAGACTGGCTACACTCCCCCTGGCCCACGGATTTCCGAACATGCCAGGCGAGCAGACTGCCGCGCCGCCGCGTGCCCCCCCCCAACTAAGTTAGCACCCAGCGATGTATGTTGGAAGCAGCTTATCCTCATAGTTCCTATCAAGTGCACGTCACTTCCGGTGACACCCCACCCCAACTTTCGGATATCGAGTATAAAACGTGATTCGCTCGAACGAAGATGCGGGTTCGAATCCGGCCTAAAGCAAGTGTTTTGTTCACAACTCAGCATTCGTAACTCACTTATGACGGAATGCGGCCAAAAACAGTACTTACAAGGAAAGGCTCTCAGGTCGCCATGGCCATTCAAGAAGAGATGTATACCACTAGATGTGCCTTTGAACGCTGATCTCAAATCTACCTTCCAAATCTGCTAAACGATTCTCTGAATGGAGTTATGAAGCAAAACAGCGCAACGGTAGTGGTCGGGATTTGCAGTCAAAACGTCGTAGGATCGGCCCCTGATCGCGTTTACTGTCTTGCATTCTTCAGGAATTGGGCTAAATAGTCTATTAAATGCCTTCTAGCTGTACTCTTGACATCCCGATCACTACCGTTGCGCTGTTTCGCTTCATAGCTCCCTTCAGAGAATCGTTTAACAGATTTGGAAGGTACATTCATATCAATGAGGGTAAAGGTGTTGACATAATTTATTTTGACCTATCCAAAGCATTTGATAAGGTTAATCATGAGAAACTTATACTTAAGCTCTGGAATTTAGGAATTGAAGGACCCCATACTTAGCTGGATTCGATCTTATTTGAAAGATAGGCGGATGTATGTTAAAGTGGGAAATCAATTCTCGCAAAAATATTCTTGCACCAGTGGCGTCCCACAAGGAGGAGTACTGTCACCCTTATTATTTGTTGCATATACCTATGACCTGCCCTCTTATCTGAATACAAACCCCCTAGTCAAAATTAAAATATACGCTGATGACATTAAAATATACGGAAGTTACAATGAGCAAAATTATGACTGTGTATACCAAGCCTTAACTCACTCCATTCGCAACATGATGAAGTGGGCTATGGACTGGGGAATACCTATAAATTTTGCGATCGCTAGTTCCTATGAAGCTCGTGACCTAGGGTTCCTCATAAATTCTGATTTAAATTTTTCGCATCACATTGATGTTATTGTTCGTAAAGCATACATGACCTTATTTGCAATCTTTAGAAATATTCGGCACAATGATGTTTCAATCTTTTTGAAACTCTACAAAGCATATGTTGTTCCCATACTTGAATATGGTTCGCAGATATGGAGCCCTCACATTAAGAAACTTCAAGCTAAAATTGAAAAGGTTCAACAGACTTTTACTAGAATTTTGATGTATCGATGTTATGCAAATCCTGCCTATCCACAAGCTTTACCCGATTACAAAAACCGCTTGCTTCGCTTGAATCTTAAGTCATTGATGTACAGGAGGGTATTCAATGATATCGTATTCTGTTTCAAATTGTTGAAAGGTGAACTCAAGCTGAGACCAAGCAAGTACTGGATAATGAGACCGAGCAGAGGTCGCATCACTTCATTATCACTACAATGTCCTAGATTATACAGAAATCATCAGGTTCAGGTTTTTAACTCGCTATGCTTTCGCGGAGCGAGATGGCTTCAATTATTACCTTCAGACTTGCAACTGGCACAAAACACCGATACGTTCAAAAGAAAATTAAAGAACATTGACTTACTTGCCTTATTAGGCATCAACGATTTCGAATAATAT